GGACGTTTCCTTTCATTGTTGTACCCGAACTACAGAGAACGATATTAGGTGCGGATCTTCTGCGGGAGATTGGTGCGATAATCGACACGCAAGCGAACGTTGTGATAAGGAAATACGGGCATATCAACATGTATGAGACCAGCGAGATAGCAGCGGTTGAGCTGTCGACGGTATACAATATGACAGAGTTAATTAATAAATACGATCATCTGTTCACTGGAGACGGCGACCCATACGGTTATTGCGATAAGGTGAATCATGAAATTCCATGAAGTGATCCAAAAGTAAGGTCATTTACAACGCGAAGGGTTCCATGTCATGTGGAAGGCGAAGTTGAGCGGCAACTGCAAAAGATGTTAAAAGACGATACTATTGAGGAAGCTGATATCCCGTACAACTCTCCAGTGCTGTTGGTAAAAAAGTGAATCTCTGTCTGGATTCAACATAGAACTTGGCACTGAAGTGTAGCAGTTCGAGTTGCCACGTTCCAAATAGCACACAGAGTTAGACAAGAAGATGAGTGAAGAGAATCAATAGAGTTCGACAAGTATAAGAGTGAAACAGAATGGGTAATGGTAGAAAGGAATATGAATGGGAAGTATAGATTCTGTGTTGATTTTCGACAGTTAAACAGTATGACAGAGTTAAGACCGTTTGCCACACCAACAGTGGTAGAAACTTTAGATCGCCTACAAGGTGCGAATGTGTTTTCGGTTCTCGATCTTCGCTCAGGATACTGGCAGATACCGATAAAACCATGTGATGAAGATAAGACAGCATTCATCGTGGGTCAGACACAATATCAGTTTAAACGCATGCCGTTTGGACTAGCAGGTGCACCGTTTACGTTCAGACGACTGATGACGCCATTGCTTAAGAATTTGAAAAACGTGGAGGTGTATGGTGATGATCTTGTCATATACAGTCAAAACGAAAACGATCATGTGAACCATGTACTTGGATATCCACGGTGCCAGCTAATGAAAGGCGACCGGTGCATACGAGAACCGCTTCAGTCGATTCCAGTTACGGCGATAGATGATTTGTGGTCCGTAGATGTCATGGGTCCATTTCCTCAGACATCCAATGGTAATCAGTACCTCTTGGTGATGACGGAACACGCAACACGATGGGTAGACGCTGTAGCGATCCCAGACCAACGTTCAAGGACCGTGAAAGATGCAGTAGTTAGACACATCATTGCAGACCACGGCGTACCAAAGACACTACTGACAGACCAAGGTCCTTGTTTCGAGAGTGAAGAATTTACTTCCCGTTTGCAACAGCTGGGCATCAAGAGGATCAGAACGACCCCATATCATCCACAAACGAATGGCCTAACGGAGAGAAACAACCGTACACTGAAGGAGTGGCTGGCCTCGAAGGGCGGTAATTGGTAAACGGAGCTTCCGCTGATTTTACTAACACATCGTGCTACCATTCAGGAAACAACGAATAAGTCATCCTTTCAACTGATGTATGGTAGAAAACCACGATTGCCGATACACAACGAGACCTGGCCCCTTCACCAAAAGTGGAGTACGACGAAATTAAAATCAGAGAGGAAAGAGGCAGTCAAGAATGTAATGCAGAAGCAGCGGAGTGATGTCGCGAAGTATCTGCTGAAAGGAAAGACTCACTGCATTATTTTTGTGGAACTAATAGATATTTTCTGATTGTGTGCCCAGTGGGAAGGAATGTAAGGAGGTGTTATTATATTATTTATCATTATTCCTCTTGGTTCTGAGTGGGACATAGGACTGCAACAGCACATCTTCACTTTGTGCTGTTCTCTGTAGCTGGCATCACTACTGCTCATAGGCTGTCATCTCCTCGACACGCGACCTCCTCCATGTCATACAAGCATACAAGCGTTGCTACAAAACCTTTGCAAACTTGTTTCGCAATGATTGCTGCAGATAATAATAATGTATTTCATATAAATTTACAAATTTGCATGAAAATGCATGCCTTTTTTACAGGCACGACCAAGTATGGTATAATGTCATATCTTAGATCTACAGAGTATCGTATAGAAGAAGACACTGCTATGCTTTGTGGGGCATTGAGACTTTTGGATTACAAAGGACCCTCACTACAGGAAAAGAGCAACCATTGCTCAGAAATTAGTGACGCACTTAGTGCCACTGATATGCGTATGCTCGATGCGTCACTGTCAGGAAGCGAATGTCTTTCGTCACAGAGTAACATCAACTAAGGCTCGGACATCTATGTTGTCGCCTACGTTCCCGATAAACTCTTAGGCGCCTAAAGAGAGACGGTGCTGGAATGATCTAACTCTACTTTACCTAGTACTGCCCAAAACAAAATGTGGAGTAATCATCGGAAATTCACAGTACCGGTCACCTATGAACACAGATCTAACCTCACCCACGACGGAAGTGGATAGTAGGAAGCCAGAATTAAAGTCAGGCAATTAATAGGGAGCCAGTGTACGGCATAATATAGTGTCCCACAAAAAGCAAGACATAGCCAATACAAAGAAGCATACTGTGCATAAAGGATGTAAAGACACCATCGTCTCAAAGGAAGAAAGCCATTCTAAGCAAACCTAATCTCTCTGACAGGTCGTTCTCCTTCACAAAGTGCAAGAATCCATGGTTTCAGACCTCAAGGCCAGAATCTAGTCAAACCAATTTCACAAGCTAATCCCAACAACAGTAACTGGTGTAGCCATTCATAGCACATATAGAATAAGCCAAAAGGCTGATTCTAAATCCTATCGGTTTGTGCGCCTTCCCAAAGTTGTGTTGAACTCAAAACCTGCAAGCAATACTCAAACTCTTAAGGGATCAGGCCTCGATTTTTATTATTATTTATTAATATTGTTCCCTTGAGTTCCAAGCGGAATATAGGGCTTCAGCAATACATCTCTGTTTTGTCCTGTTTTCTGTTGTCCTCTTCTACTGGGTCCACGATTGCCGATATACTTCGTATTTCGGACGACCGATTCTGGTGGTTTGCTTTGTCTTCCGTCTACGTGGAGTAGATACTACAGGAGTTGTAGGTAGCTATACGATCTTGCGTTAGTATATATCGTACTATCAATGAACGTCAACACCCCCAACCTCTAAATACTCAAAAAGTACAAAGTATTTGAATGGATGTTACCTGAGCAAACTAGTTCATAGCCTATTGGGCTGGGTGAGGTGAATAGTGGAACAATTGGTGGTAAAGATAGGTAGAATGATCTTGAGGAAAACAGTTAGTTGGCAGAACCTATTACACTAAATTTTCATGACTGCTTTTCATATGGTTTGTCTTAGACGTTAGGAAGTAACTCGTGTACTCATATGATATAAGAATATTACGAAACACTCTAAAATTATACGTTTTAGATAAATATAAGTAGTCTTTTGGATCTGGAAGCCTGGCTGATGGCATATTGATAGAATTTTAAATCAACTGAATAGATGAACATTAAGTCAAGTACTGAGGGAAAAATGGAAAGATTTTTGTCACGTATCGTTGTGGTACGGCAGCTAGAGAAAGTAAATTTCCTGAGGTTTGGGATGTTGCAGTGGAGTTTGTTTCTCTCTTATTAGTTAAGTAGACGAAAGGACATTTGAGAATGATAACTCACTCAGAAGGTATTGGGATTTAATAATAATAATACAATCATCTTATTCCAAACTATAGGTATTGTACAGAGTGGAATTTTCAGCGTTTTATACACACTGCGGCAATTCAGCTTCTTCCATAAATATATATATCCGTAAAGTAAATAAAAGGAACCATTCCCAACAGTCTGCTGGAGGTACCTGCGTTCGATACTGACTGGCCAGAAAGAATAAGCAACAAGGAACTCTGGATCATACATTAAACACGTTAAGGACTTACCAGGCATTAAAAGGGAAGGCTATTGAGGTGCTATCAAACGTATGCTGAGAAGATATTCAGGGGACACTAAACGCTAGGTGCCATAATGTAATGATGAAGTGAGGAGTCCTAAAGTGCATATGAAGAGGAAATGAATGCTTGTGAGTACACCTTGACTCATTTCAAAGTTATGTGATTGAAATCGAGATATCATGCAGAAACCCTGTGTAGCACTCGGAACTTCCAAGGGCGATACGGAGATTAAGTGAAGAGATGAAAGCTTGTGGACGGACGTGGATCCAGTTAATATGATAGCTGAAACAAATAAAGCTGTGTTGCTGAACCCTAAGTCATACACGGGAGCGAATATATATGTATATATGGGTAGGGGAACATTTTGTTTTTGAACTGATCTCATCCTACGTGTGACGTTTGAAGGGAATCTTGGATAAAATTAAAGGCAACATTAGATATACATTTCTTACTTAACTCTTATTCCCACTACATCGGAGAGGTGTTCACCTGGTCTGTTAATATGCTTTTATCTAATCGGAGCTTGATAATTAATAGAACAGTTCTGTTTACTTTAAAGCAATACATATTACAATTCACAAAAAGCCTTTCCAGTTGCAATACTATTTTTATATGAAGATAAGATGAATAATCATGACGAGAAACTGCCATACGACTTAGAATAATTTTCTCGAAGTTCCTCAAAAGCATGCTTAAAGGTTTTTTTAAAAGTCCAGCAAATACGGCGAATAAGGTCGGCAAAATATTACGCTGAATGAAATTACAAGTCAAGATAACCAACAGTTCTTATGATAGATTTTCAAAATGAGCACAGTATGAAGTAGTAACAGTTTAAGGTCGCAAAATGTAAGTGCAAGGGCCGATCTTCTACAAGTTGAGAGATTGAATACATTTGTTCACCACGTGAATGAAAGCGAGTGTATTAGGCAAACAGTAGTTTACAAGCGAATAACAGAGATCAACAGAAACACACTGAAGAGATATATACAATTGCTTGTTACAGATATAAGAAAAGAAAGTCGAAGACACAGACACCCACACTTCTACTTCAAAATGTTTTACTTCAGGTGTTCACGTTTAATTTAAAAAATATTGTAAACACATTTCCTTCATTTTAATGTCAAATATCATAAATACTGTTGTTTCCCATGACTAAAACGACTCGAAAGTTGCTTAGAACGCTCAACAATCGCCTTTCTAGCTGCGGCGTCAACTCGAAACAATTTAAGATCTTTTTCACGATCGAATGGACGTCTGATTGAATCAGGAGACGGGGATTTTTCATGTTTTTTCTTATGTTTCTAGAAATAAAGCATACAGATTAGCCATAGGAGAATGTGAAACAACTAACTTTGGACTTGTGTTTATGCTTTTTAGATTTTTCTTTATGTTTCTTAAGCTTTTGCTTCAATTTTTTCTCATGTATTTCTAACAAACTTGACTTTTTACTGGAGCCCTAGAGAATGAAATGGGAGTATGTTATGGATCAAACTAAAGCGGACTGGAAATACCTGATACTGAGAGGCAATTTTCGCCATGCTTTGGTCGTAAGATTTATTTCCTTCAAAACTCAGTTTGTCGTTTGGTTCTTTCGCTGCCTGAAATGAAAATATATAAAGAGAGTATTTAGATACAGTGGAAGAGCAAAATGAAATAGAGTTCGTTTAACAAAATTTCCTCATAACTGCTAATAAAAATCACCCAGTCGATTGCCAAGTAAAGCGGTAGAGCAGATTGTGTTTAAATTGATACCGAATATTCTGTCCTCACTGTGGTGGGCTAGATCGTGCAATAGACAGGCATACGAGAAGACCCAAGAAGATTTGGACTTCATGGGTGATTTATGTTTAAGGTAATAAACTCGAAAGTGTACAGATGAAAACCAAAACATCCGCAAAAGAGGCAGAGAAGACCAGACTTCAAGTGAACATAGAGAAAAAAGGGGTGATGAGCAAACCGAACCAACAATAACAAGTATTAATCACCATCAGTGAGAGAAATCTAAAGTAACCAGTCTCTTCTACCAAATCTAAGCAGCGTCGCACAGATAGGGATTCAAAAGATAGGATCAAAAAGTAAGAAAAGCCTTTATATCACAGGAATTAGCATGGAAATGTGCTACACACAACACAGTCAGTGCTTCTATTTAGTTCAGAGAATCGGTGCGTTATCGAAAGCATTTCCAAAAGTCTACTGCAAACTTTCACCTATAACTGCTTTTGCTCTGTACTGAAGAGCAGATGCCAAAAAGGGATTAACGACAAAGACGTCTGGGAACCAACCAGTCAATAGCCTATCGTCCTAAAAATATGCCGAAGAAAATGTATTGGATATACACTGAGGAGTCTATCGAGTGAACTCCCACAGTAGTTCCTCGGGGAGAATCTGAATGGAAAACGACAATTTGTGTATCTGAGGGGGACATGGAGGATGTCGCTTGAGGAAATGAAGGTTTGTGGGAGTAAGCTAACATAACATAAGCTTTATTCCAAATCAGTACTTGTGATACAGAATGGAATTCTCAGCATTTTACTACAATATTGCATCCAGTTTTTACATTAACAATAAATAAAGTTCTACATAGATTAAAGTTATCTCAACAACATATTAGTATGTCGGTAGCAAAGCCAAAATTAAAGTGTTTGAAGGTGTTAGAAAAGTAGATACTACTAGCATATTTACTGGCGTAAGCGATAGCAAAATGGTCGAGATATACAGAGTGTGAAAGAACGAACAAGAATGTTTTAAGTAGAGTTTGCAAGGAAGAGAGAAACAAAACAGCACATAACAAAAATAAATACAGAATGAAGAGCGAGAAAACGTTGTACCTATAAATGATGTGAGTTGGAAAGACGAGATCCATTGGTTTCATGCCTGATGCATTCTTTATCGCACAGAACACGGGCTAGGTAGGGTATGGATGAGTTTTTGTACTTACTAGTGCGGGCATATAGTTTCCTATATAGGCTTCTTGTTTTCCCTGAAGAGATACATGGGGAGAGTTGTGAATGTAGAGGGTGTTGTGAGTCAGATAAAATGGATTTCGCCCATTTTTCACATGAGTCCATGTGCCTGTCCACCAGAATATTAACAAGCTGGCTAAGTGGCAAACTGCTTACCCTGCTGACAACCTTTAACATCCTACGTAATAAGGTATAGTCTTTCTTCAATAGCCCAGGAAAGACTAAGGGGGAGCAATAGAGAATAATAGGCAGAATACGGGAGTTAACAAATTGTAGGAGTAAGGGTTGGGTTACACCAGAATGTCTTAACTTCTTGATGTAGAAGGTAAGACGGTATATTTTCTTGGAAATCGTCAAGATATGAGACGACCAGGAAAGATCAGAAGATAGAGTGACGCCTAGGTATTTAATTTCCGACTTGGTTTCTATTTCAGTGCCATCTATGTTGCACACCTCGTGAGTGCTAACCAGTTTGTTTAGGTCAGATTTATGCCTAAGGGTGAAATTAACTGTTTGGCATTTGGAGGGGTTTAAGGTTAGACCGTTTTCCTTGGACCATTGGCTAATTTCTGATAAGAAGCCATTTAGTTTAGAGCAGTCACTTTGACATTTGACAGGTAAAGATACAGTTAGGTCATCAGCATATTTGACAAAGTTAATGTCATTTGAAGACGGTAGGTCATGTAGGAAGAAAGAAAAGAGAAGTGGGGAGAGTACAGCACCTTGGGGGACACCAGCTTCAGTGAGCACAGCAGAGGAGGATTGGCCTTTGTATACGGTGTACTGCATTCTGTTTGAAAAGTAGGAATGCAACCAGTTAGTGACCCAGGACTCGGTTTGTGTCATGGAGAGCTTATTTAGCAAGAGACTTCTAGGTACAGAGTCGAAAGCAGAAGTGAAGTCAAGAAACGTGCAGCGGACATATTTGGCACCTTTGTCTAATGATGAGATAATACTGTTGTGTAAGACGGCTGCACGTCTAAAGTACTTCTACCCTGTCTGTAGGCAAATTGTTTGGGATCTTCGAAGCTTTTAAGGGAAAGGAAGAAACAGGGTGAGATGGAGGTGTACTGCTGAAGCCCTATAATTCACATGGACGACATATAATAATAATACAAACGTTTCGCAAACTGTTGAATAGAAAAAATAAATAGTATACTTAAGATAAATACACTGATGAGCACTAAAACATATTGAGAGAAAATGGAGTTAAAGAACTTTATGTGGCTCACAAAATCTGTCATACTAAGTGTGTACCAAGTTGTGGTGAAACTAGATATTAAAATAAAGGAAAGGTCACTCAATATCCACTTGCATTTAAATGAAGTAAAGGTTGAACCACGCTTTACTGTGTAAAAGTTAATGATACTATTTGACAAGCCAAACATCGGTAATGGGGAGAAGGTTCAAATCTGTGACTCACTTGTTTGAAGGTAAGTGCCACAATCCCATAAATTTAGTTCTACCAAACGCTTTACAGCAAGCGTAATGTTGTAAAAGTATTATGAAGTCGAGGACTAGGAGACAGTTTGTTCCATTATCACGTGCTGTTTGAATCTTATTTTTTTAGATTTAACGTTCAACCGTTCCGAACGTTTCAAAACACTAAAAATTAGACCAATGGACATCCGTGTACTAAGGTATCGGAACTCAGTTACCGGAACCGATCTTCTATATCCCAGGTTAAGAGTCACACTTAATGTACTAAGGCTGATGACACTCTCCAGGTATCCAAAGTAGGTGGGGTAGGAATTAAATCCAGAACTTGCTGGCTGAAAGTCAATACTTCCTACTTAAAGATTTTCATCAAATAAATATGCGTATTTACATTGAAGTGAAAAATGGATAGGTACACATTAATACTGGGCACCTATGGCTTCGCAACAGTAAGAGTTTCTTTCTATATACCCAACCTAATATTCGAATAGTAAGATCCCTGACTTGGTGTTTCTCAGGGTAAGAGCAGCCATATGACGCAATCAACGAACATATGTATTTTTACAATGTATCTACTATTATAAGTTTAATTCTCTGAATAATACATTGCAGCCCATGATTTACTAAGTACTAGCGTTAGGTAATCCAAAAGGGCATATAGCATTCTAGAAATTCATCATCTAAATATATCATCCACAATTTGCTACGAAAGCAAAACATTTCAAAAATTGGTAATTTATGTGAAAGTGTAAAGAAATATTAAACTAAAAGATGCTGATAAAAATGTGTTACTTCTAAGGTTTCACTGGAGTCATTTGGCGCAGTAAACCACGAGGCATCATGATGTACAGAGTGACTTGAAATGTCTTGACGAAATTTACGCGGTTTCAGCGCACCGAGATCATTAGACATCGGCAGTAGCTCCGTCATCCATGCATCACGTTTTGGTTTATCACTGACTGGTCGGCTGGAACCTCCTGAGTGCTAAATACATAAAATGTAGAGTAAGGAATACAATCAACAAAAGATAAGTATGTGGGATGATTTATAACTATCTGGCATCACCCTCTGTCGCTCTTGGTTGGTGGAGATTCCCACCAACAACATAGTAGTATACAAAACACTATTTCCTCTGTCTATCTGTAATTTGTATGCTCGTGGGTGTCGGTTTATCACTGTATAAATTTGTCAGGTAATAGATAAAAGCACCTAAATACAAGGATCGTATGTACTGAAGCCATCTCTTTGTATTGTAAAGTTACTAATCACTAAACTTCTCAATCATTACACCTTTAGTCACATACCGAAATCATTAAGAAACTTTGGGGACTAGTGTCCAATAGACATATTTCGTTGTAATCTGAAAAGTCTTAAAGTAATCACGTATTGTGCCTATTGTCCTATAGGACCATATTGCTCATGTGATTACTATTTTTCTTCTAAAGCATCTTCGTCAAATCATCCAAAGTAAAACCTCAAATATCGACCAATTTGTTATTGACCATCACACTTCACTACAGTTCGCTTAGTCAAATTATACTTTATCAGACAGTGTTTACGTTATTAAAACCTAAAAGAATTACCTTGGTATTGGTAAGGCGAAAATATATTTGAATCACCATATACATGTTACAGGAAGACAGACAATACAAGGTGAAGCGATAAGCATAATTTACAATAATAATACTATACTTTATTCACCTCCTCCACATTTTTGTAGGAAACCGAAGTCGAAATAATGAGTGTCAGATCGATATCATACAGTTCACACACGATGCACTGTCAACCAACTATCATCGCGGTTCCCAACCAACAGTGGGGTTAGACAGGGTTGCCCAATCTCTCCATTTCTCTTTAACTTTGCTATCGATGACATTCTGGAGTCAGCTCTGAAGGATGTGCGTGAAGGTGGTGTAGATCTGCTACCTGGAGATAGACTTTTCGACCTTGAGTATGCAGACGACATCGTCTTACTGTGCGATAGCATGCATGCTGCCCAAATCGCGCTTAATCAGTTGGCGATCAGTGTCTGTAAGTATAGTATGTGCTTTGCGCCGTCTAAGTGCCAAGTACTGTTACAAGATTGGCAGGAGTCTGTACCTGCACTCACTCTTGCAGGTGAACCGCTTGAAGTTGTTGATAAATTTGTGTTTCTGGGTAGTTGTGTGAGTGCTGGCGGAGGGGTGACGGATGAGATTTCCAACCGTATAATGAAGGCTGGGATGGTGTGCATCAACTTGAGCCACCTCTGGCTCCGTCGCGACGTTAGCCTGGCTGTCAAATGTCAAGTATACAATGCTTCGGTGCGGGCTGCCATGCTCTACGCCTGTGAAACCTGGCCTCTCCGAGTGGGCTGAGGACGAGCGGCGGCTTTGTGTGCTCGATCATCGCTGTCTCCGCACGATTGCTTGCGTTCGATGGCATCATCGCGTGAATAATTCTGAGGTTCGGCAGCGTGTGTTTGCGCACAGTGGAGATCACCATTCATTGACTGTCATCATCTGGAAAAACCGGTTCCAGTGGCTTGGACATGTGCTGCGAATGTCATCCCAGAGGCTTCCGTACATGTCTCTGTTCGCTAGCCCTGGGACAGGATGGAAAAGGTGGAGAGGTGGTTAGTCCATAACGTGGCGTCATGGGATGAAGGATTTTTGTGCTAGATTAGCATCGGTTGGTGCGTCACGACTCCCTGGTTGGAGTCCACGAGATAGCTCGGATCGATGGCTAGAAACGTTATCGGATATGGCCAGGAATCGTAATCAGTGGTGAAGGTGCTGCAATTTCCTTCTTTCTTAACTTCCCGATGATAATTAACGAATACTGTTTGAACTTGTTAAGCATGATTGCTTTCCTTCCAGATGAAGTTTTTTATCAGTTCTTCAACTATATTTTTTACTTTTAATCTATGTTGCTTTATTATTATTGCGTGGTGCATCTTTTCGATGACATAATGAACCAAGTTTTCTATGTTCAAATAATAAATAATAATAACGATGCACTGTCATAATATGAGTAACAAGAGTTAAACAATACGTGGAAACAACTTTTGGTATAGAAGTATTAAGGTGTAAGAAAGAATGAGAGGAATAAGTGGATTTCAGGTTAACTTTCAAACTAGTAAGCTTGCATCACACAGATGACAGCCACTACTGAAAACTTCGTAGCGTGATATAAGAAATATTTCAAGCAAGTGATATATATCGACAGGAAATCTTGAATCTACAGTCTGTACTTTCAATCGAAATCATCAAGTAGTGTAAGAATTTATTGCCCATTATCCCTTTTTCTATTCAACTTCATCATAGATGTACTAATGGAATTAACCCTAAGTGACTTCAGCGACTCAGGGGTTGACTTGCTACCAGGGAATAATCTCGTTGACTTAGAATATGCAGACGATATAGTCCTTCTAGGTGGGGACGCTGAAAAAATGCAGTGTCTTCTAAACACCTTGAACGTCAATCTACAAATGTTTGTCATGCGATTCGCTCCCACCAAATGCAAGATGATGTTACAGGACTGGACTACACCGACTCCTAGATTAGAAATAAGGAATGAAGTGGTAGAGCACGTTGACCGCTTCACTTATTTGGGAAGTACCATCAGCCAGTGCCAACGTGTTGATCTCTGGCGAAATCTCGGCACGGATACAGAGGGCTCGTTTCGCATTTGCCAGTTTACGCCGTCTCTGGCGTAGACGAGATATTCGACTATCGACCAAAGGGCGGGTGTACTGCTCATCAGTCCGCTCCGTCCTCCTTTATCACTGTGAGTGAGACCTGGCCACTGAGAGTGGAAGACATGAAAAGCCCAGCTTACTGTCTTTGATCATAGGTGCCTGCGTTCTATCTCCCGTGTGAAGTGGCATAATAAGGTGAGCAACATTGAGGTTAGGCGTTGAGTTCTAGGTAAACAGGGGAAATCAATCGACGAAGTTGTGAAGTTACAAAGACTGAGATGGTTAGGACATGTGTTACGTATGCCTAGTCATCGCCTTCCTCGACGAGCAATGTTAGCGGATACAGGGTCAGGCTGGAAAAGAGCTAGTGCAGGTCAAACGAAAACATGGCACCAGTCAACGAAATCTACAACAGTTAGTCTAAGCCACGTAGGAAGGTGTAGACTTTCTGGTTGGGGTCCTCGGGACGGTAAAAACAAATGGTTGGAAACAATTGGTGACATGGCTCAAAATCGTTCTCAGTGGCGCAGATGCATTCACTCCCTGTGACCTATGATTTCCAATGAAACTGTTTTGCTCTTCGTTACTACTATTCCTTTGTCTCACACCTCTGTTTACTGTGTCTATTATGCCTTTCTTGTAGTTTCTTCTCTTGCTCTGTGTGCTACAAGGAGGGAGTGTGGCGACTTGAACAGCCGCACATCGGTGCAAAGTTCTATGTCGAAAACACACAGACAGACAGTAAGAATCTACAAAGAGCCGTCATCTGAAGTGAGGACAACCTGTTATGTCCGTCCCCATTTCTATCTCCTTCCAATACATACGTACCCTAAATGTCTACAGTGACTCAGAGATTAACTTGTTACCAGAGAACAGTTCTGTAGAGTTTGAGTATTCAGATGACATTCTCCTTCTAGGTGAAAACGCAAGTAAAGTGCAGTGTTGGGAACACCGTGGGTAGAAACCTTCGCCTGTTTGGCATTTGACTCTCTCCTGTGAAATTTAAGATGATTCTGCTGTACTGGACTCCACCGACTCTTAGCTTATAGAAAGAGAGCGAAGTAGTGGTGTGTTGATCAACTCACTTCTTTGGGAAGTTGCATGAGTTTTAGTGTAGTGGTCGATTACTGATGGAATCTCAGCACAGATACAAAAGGCTCGCGTAACATTTGCCAAGTCATGTCATCTCTAGAGTAAACAGGATATCTGGCTATCTCTCCATCAAATAACGTGAGCAGTGCACAACAGTTCACTCCGTCCTCTTTTATGGCTGTGAAACGTACACATTGAAAGTGGAAGATATGAAGAGGCTGGATCGCTGACTTTGTCCACAAATCTTTGCGTTCTACTACCCGTTTCAAGTGGCAAAATAATATGATGAATATTATTGAGGTTAGACGTAGAGTATTAGATGAAGAGATTAGGTCACTCACTCGGTCAGACAGAAACCTGATATCAGTCCATGAAAACATTGACAGTTAGTTTGAGCCAGGTAGGGAGGTGTTAAATGCCTTTTCGGGTTCCTCGGGATTCTGAAAACCGACACAGCTAGAGATGATGTGGCTCAAAATCATTGTCAATGGTGCAGATTCATTGACTCCTTGTGATCTTCGAGATCGCTTGAGTCGTCATGTCTTTCAATGTTAGTATTTTTTCTGCTGTAAATTTCTGTTCCTTATAGTTCTTTTGAATTTCTCTTTTTTATCCTTTCTGTATCTCTGTGTGATACATGGAGTGTGGTTACTTGAAGTGTTGCACTTCTGTGCAAAATTATGTTTTGAAACTCAGACAGTTAGCAAGACGTATCAATAAACTCGAAGCAAATAAGTGACAACTGACAACAGATTCGAACCAGTGTCACTCAGTAAAGGAAGCTATGGGTGAGCATCGGTTACTTCCTTTGAGGGTGCAGATTCACTTACCTGATAACTGTCAACAGGATCAAAACCTTTTATCCAGAGTATCCTGATGACTACCTATATTCAACCAACATCAATTTTTAAGCGCATTAAGATGGCGGATCACGTAGCTTGGAGAAAAGATCGCAGACTCAACTGATAGAATTCAATTACCATCAACAACAATGACTAGACACCTGATATTGGATACACACTAATGCGTAAAGGACAGTTTTATTCATTGCAATATTGACTTGTTCTCAACAATGATTAATAAGTTTAACATTGCATATTGTTAAGCGATCTATATACAACATCATTCATGCTTACTATTTCTGTAGATTGGTCTGCTGTAGCCAAATTAAATAAAGTCCACTAAAACTTTCACGGAGGAAAACTGGAACAAAGGATATTGTATCTCATTTTAGGTAAATATTGAAAAACACTGATTGTGACTGATAAAATTTTCAATAGAAAATAGCGTTCACTCTAATGAACAAACCGATGTTGATTGTTTTGCGTGGTATTTACGAGTTATATTAAGAAATATAGAAGCTTATTATGCAATGTCGTGGTGGGGAAGACGAACTGCAAGTACGACCTGTATACTGTCTCATACGAGTCAAGTGCTTTCATATAACAACCATACTTCTATTAATCTATATTTAAACCGGGAGCATTCTGAACAGAATATTAGGCAAAATGTAAAATGTACAAGTAAAGAAGCTTGTGGGGATAAATATCAAAGAAATAAACAGTTTTTTTGGAAAGCAGAGTAGCTACCAAAAAGCAACTCTAGATAATGTGTTGTTTCCAAGTAGACACAGCACTGCTAATGAGGGTAAATTGATGGACATACAGAAAATAAGTACAACATAAGAGGATTAAAAAACACCTTAACATAAGGAATTTTATTTTTACGGTTTATCGTAGGAATCCTACAAACATGACTAGAAGGATATAATCAAAGGCTGAGGTCTTACACAATCCTGTATCACTGGCAATTTACAATTTATCTGATGAGAATAATATACATTCAGTAGCAAGTGTCGTTAACTGTTTCGTATGCTAAATAATCAAAATGATCTAGAAATACGCATAAAGCAAATTTACAGATAAAAATTTAAACGTAAAAAGTGATACCTGATACATGAAAATTAACATACACCGGATTTAAGATGTCGCCACTCCTCTCTTAATTCCTGTCCAGGTATTAAAGGACCAATGGTATCCATATCTTCAAAATCATCCTGTGACTTGAATACTTCTGGTTCTTTAGCTAACTTTTGTCGAAATAAATCAGTAGGTAATGCGGGTCCTATTCCACTTGATGGAGCTATATCATCTGGTCGCAAAGCTGGTCCGATAACAACACGACTAGTATTAGAATCTGCTTCTCTTTCAGACATATGTATATTATTCACACCTAAATAGAAAAACAACAGTTGTGATGAGACGTATAAGACAGACGAAAATGCTTTTATGAAAATAACAAACATAAAAATGTCTCAGACACGAATGGAATAACCATTTCTGTTGGATAGAATGAAAATAGGAATTATTCTGGAAACTCCGAGATATACTGGGATCCACCAACTGAAAGGCGAGCGTTTCAATTGATGAACCACAACATAGTTATCTGAGTCTCAAAGTAGAACTTTGCACAGAATCCCAGGACATCAAGTTGCCGTGCTCCATTTATCACACAAAGAAAAAGAAATTAAAAGGGGCTGTAATGAGTAGAAATATGCGGAAGATCAAATAATTACGTGGCAAAACATCAGGATTCAGTGGATGTGGGAGATTACAGAGAATGAATGAATGAATATGTACCAGTGAATACGATTTCAAGCCAAATTACCTTTAACTCTTTTTTCCAACCTAGTCTCAAAGTCAAATAACATTGTTGGATGGAGAAATGCAATAAGAGACAAAGCAGCAGAGAAGATGCTATGCCTTTTTGGCACCAAACCTTAAGCTTACTTAATATTCAAGTTTCTGAAAACATTGAAGCAATATTCCTTTGATTTCAGTTGATTACTCTGAGGTGAAAGTATTTGTGACACTTTGTTTTTTTTAACTTAAAAGAGAACTAAAGCCTCAAGCTTCGACTTTCCAATCAACAGCATCCAAGTGTTTGAATAAAGAAAGGACAACAGTTTTTACAGAATAAAATAGTAACATCATTCATGTTGTTGGCTTCTGATCAGCTATTTACAGGGAAAAGTCATTAATAAGTATAAGTATAAAACTTGGACACTGCGGTAGAGTATAACTCCTTTATAGATAAGATTTTATTTTAATAAATCAGTGTTATACAGTAATATATATATATATATATATATATATATATAATATTAAACACTATTCCGAACAGTAGTGACCATATACAAGGGAAACTTTCGACATTACGTAATCAGATGAAAGAGATGTGAGAATATCCAGCTACCAGGACCAAGAGTAACTGATAGCTGTTTCCTCCTGAACGCATAAATCAGGTTTCAGGCGTTTGATGGAGATCGCTTCGGCAAACTTGAGGAGAATTGAAATCTTGCCTATTGATAATTCTGAACGATCTTGCGACGTTCACCTCATGATCCGTGTCAAGGAGACACCTGGCGATGGTCTGTTTAAAAAAATTTTTCTTTTTTGGTACATGTTCAGAAAATCGTAGATATGCTTTTCTTTCTGTTCTCCCAATGTAACTGCTCCCGTAGATGCAGGTAAATTTGAATACACAGTTGGGAGTTAACATGGGAAGGATATCTATCGATTTTCGATTGTCCCAAAGAGCATATTGTTCGATAGATGGGAACGAGCTTAGCTGCATGATTTTGATTTTTTTATTTACAGCTTGATTCCACACTGCAGGCCGACCATAGATATCAGGTGTGCGTCGGCGGGGATCGAACCTCGGACCATGTGCGTGGTCGGCGAGAGTCCTAACCACTGCGCCACCGACACAGTGATGTCTTCAATCTTCTGTTGGCAATTGCTGTAATATTTTCCCCTTTATAATCAAGTTGAATGTAGATGGTCTTTTTATCCACTGTGATCTGCTTGACAGTTGAGACTTCAGATCTGCCGTACTTGTTAATGAACCTTTGACGGCAACCTTTTTTCAAAATCTCTTTGAGAAACATAAATTCTTCCGCTAATTTCTCCATAGAGCATAATCTGCACATCAGTGGAATGTTCTATGTTGAAACCAGTCAGTTAGTCATCAAATGACACCATGGACTTATTTAAAACGTTCCTGTGGTTCACAGTTTCAGCGAAATGAAATCAGTCTTTCATATATATGTGGATATCGTTTATTTTTGGATTACACACACACACACAAGCGTACAGATACGCGTGCAGAGAGACAGACATCGCCGCAACAAACAGGTAACAATACTGAAGATATTCAGAACCACTTTTTGAATAAATATATTTTTTTTTAAAATCACACACATTGTTCATCACATGAAAATGTAGGCCTAGATGAAAGAGGAGATACAAACATCTGCAAAATACTGAGCAAGAAAAAACAAAAACAGAAGAAGGAAAAAACAAACAGTAATGTAAAGTGTGAATAGGGATGTATAAAAAGTTATTTTGTTAAAAAAAATAATTGGTCAATAGTCAGAATAAAAACATTATAATAAAAATCGTTTTAATTTTGCACCAAAAACAAACAGTATCATAAGTAGGAATCCAGTGACGTAAATTTGTATTAGGCGCATTTCAGTTGGCAGATAGCACTTATTAATTGCATAGTTTGCCGATGAAATAGATAACTGAAAGGCGAAGACAACAACACAATGATAATGACATAAAGTTTCAATGAAAAAAATTATTTTATAGACAACTTATCGGTTTATACACTAAACATACATGTAAGAAACTATGTATTGAAGGGTGGTTTGTTTGCTTCAGCAGTTGACGTAACCACTACCGACAAACAGACATACACACACAAGCAGCCTAACTAGTTAGGAATCAAGTGCATATTCATGCATTTGTTGTAAAAACTAGTGGCTAGAGACAACTGGTGATATGATTGGCTCAAAATCGTTCTCGATGGCGCAAATGAATTCAGTCTTTGTGATTTATCATGGATAATAAAAAATAAAACTATTGTTTATCAGTATTAGCACTTCCGTTTATTCTCTCTTTTCTTGATTTGTGTGCTACATGGAATGTGGTAACTCAAGCTGCTGCACATCTGTGGACAGTTCGACGTTGAACCCAGCTAGCAGTGAGTTAGTGTTACCTTATTTGAGGTGACTGAGTAGTTAGGGTTATCGAAGTAAAGTAGGACAGTAGTGCAACTCTTCACATGACAAATAACACCTATGCTGTCATTGTGCATATATGCATCAATAAATAATTTTATTTGAAGATTATTTGGTCTGAACACTTAACTTGCAATCCTACTCCACTTAACAAAGTCACAGTAGTCAAGTGGTTTCATGATTACTTATAGAATAAGTGTTGCATTCCTAAATACTGAGTACAGTTGTACATGATTCCATCAACGAAGGGAAAATAAAAGAAACAAGTTGACATCAAAAGTAAGTATAATAACCTATGGTTATCGACCAGACACATTCGAAAGGAAAAAGGCGTAAAGCATATCTCTACATATCCTCGCATAATGATCAAACCGAGTTTGCAATCTCTGTTAACTTACCAATAAAAATCCTGGGTGTTCAAGATTTCGCCAAGAAAAGCTAGCAACCGACCATTCAGTTACAACAGAGTCCGAAAAGTTTCCAAAACTATGTGAAATTTTACACGAGTAATGAGTATGGCCAGATAATACTAGTCGTGGGCGAAGAGACTCGAGTAGCTGATACCGAGTGATTAAAAGCAAATATGAACGTTAAGTAGTAGTTTCAATATAACACAAAATACAGTATTAGGTATTTGCTTTTCATGTAAAAAAGATTGATAACAAGTGCTGAGACTATACACCAGCCAAATTTCTTGAGTTATACCAATTATTATGCATTCATTGATGTTTATCATTCTCCCGATCGATACTTGCTACCTTGACGTGGTGGTTGAGCTTGCACATTGCAATTACCCAACAAGCTATACCGGCTGGAACTATTGCTCCTGCAGGTCCAACCATGCCAGGAAAGTTGTTAGGGCTAGCGATTAGGCTGAAAGCAGTTACCGGCATAGTATAAGCATTTTTTTACCCTATGCTGGGAATCTTCGGGCGAAGTCGTACTGCTGGAGACCAGGGGTGTAACAGCAGTAAAGTGTTTCGCTCAGAGGGCCAGCATGCTAGCTATGATGTCTCTCCACTCTGGAGGGAAGAAACTAGAAAAGGTCGACCCCGAAAACTGTACATCCCAAGTTACCCTACGGTGGTCCGTAACCAGAGGTAAGTTTACTAATATGGAACCAAACCAAGAAACTAGTTCATATAGGCCGTGTGTGACCGGCCTCATGCAGTTGTCTCCTGGGCTCTGCGGTCCAGGTACCCAAAAAATCAATCAATTTCCACGGTGCGGGCAGCAGGGAAGTAACAACCGCCCACACACTTCCAAGAGCACACGAAGCCTCCCTGAGCATCATTCCCTTTTACTCACATTACCTTCAGGCTAGTGAGGCATCTTCACTTCACTCTGTAACCACAAACAACGATGAGCCACAGAAACACCCACGACGGCCTCTTGGAGCCACGTTGCATTCAACGTCAGGACCCTCTGCCAAATCGGACAACAGTCATCACTAGCAAGAACTCTGGCATGTCGAACCATGGGTGTATGTTGTGTTTCGGAGACACGAATACAAGACCCGAGTGTGGTAATTCACTTAACCTTACCCGATCAAAAAAGTGAATCTGCCAAATTCACCTTGAGAATATCAGGAGACTCCTCATCTAGTTCGCGAGATCACCAGTGGGTGTTAGGGCAGAGAAATCACTTCTGGACTGGATGTCAGTAGATAGTCGTATGTGTGCAGTCCGTCTGGAACGGTCCGTTAGAAGAAGGAAGGACGGCGTTACTCGTCGTTGTCTTTTCATAGTCTTTGCTTAAGCCCCAACCAGCTGCAGTTCGGATGAACTAGGGGATGATTTCTACCTGAAACTGACTAGTTTCCTGCAAAAAGTAAAACTTCAGATATAATTGTTTTAGCGGACGACTTCAATGCCCAATTAAGGAAGTTGTGCCAGACTGAGAGGTATATAGGTGGTACGTACGGAGTTCCCTACAGACAAACCGACAACGGTGATCGTCTTCTACAATTTTGCTCAGATAGTCATCTGTTCCTGGTCAGCACTAACTTTAGGCACAAAGAGAGACACTGTATAACCTGGCGACCTCCAGCACCAAATCAACGCTGGACTCAGATAGACCACATAGCCATAGAATATCGTTGGCGAGGGTCAAGAGAAGACTGTCGCTCCTTCTGGAAAACGTGCGTAGACTTCGATCATATTCTGGTTCGTTTATGATTACGTTTAAACGGACTGTTGGCTGCGAATCAGTTACGTCTCCAAATACATAGACACTCTGAGTCCCTATTTAAGGAGGAAATAGTGAAACGTGTATCTGGGGTCGACAGCAGGACTCCTCCTGAAGAAGCCTGGCACAACATACAGTTAGCTGTAGACACAGCTGTAGTAGCTGTAAAAGCCGTTAATAGCCTAAAACCAAAAGTTAGTAAGAGTTGTTGGATCTCTACCGCCTCATCCGAACTGATTGACGCAAGAAGACTGACTCAAGAGAGCTCCGATTTTGATGAGGAGCGAAAGCTACTCAAACGCAAACTGACAAGAAGTCTCCGTAACGGCTGTGAACAGAGGTGGGCGATACAAGTGAAAGACATGGAGAAGGTATCGGCGATAGGTGACACCAGACAACTACCTAGGCTTATCAGGAAAAAATGTGGTAACAGGCAAACGATAAGTGAAGCAATCTCTGAGAGGAATGGCACCATAATTAGCACCCAGGATAGATGGCTAAAAAGTTCGAAAGAACACTTTGTGAAGCGATTTAATTGTTCCAAAATGACACCCAACTTATCCAGCATCCAACAGCTATCTGAATGGGATATAGACAGAGGTCTTCCGTCCCTAACTGAGGTTACTAAAGCTGTCACTAGTCTGAAACAAGGCAAAGCAGCGGGACCTGATGGAATGACTCCAGAGGTATTTAAGTACGGTGGAGACAGTCTACTGTCTGCATTAAGTGAGGTTCTAAGCAGCGTCTGGGAATCAGAGGAAGTCCCATCGGGTTGGTGTAAGTCACTGATTACCTCCATATACAAGAAGAGAGACAAGTCTTACTGTGATAATCACAGAGGGATTAGCCTGACTAATATAGTATCTTAAGTCCTAGACTCAATAATATTGTGTAGACCAAGTGATACTCGAGAGGAACAAACACGAGAGAGCCAGGCAGGCTTTAGACCAGGAAAAGGGTGTATTGATCATATCTTCACCCTTCGACAGATTCTAGAACACAGGCATTCCTACCGGAATCCAACAATCATTATATCTCTTGACCTAAAGGCGGAATTTGATTCTGTCGACCGAGAGGTTCTCTGGAGATGCTTGGCTGTAAAGGGAATGTCGAGAAAATACATTGCACTGATCAAGGCACTCACTCTACTCGAACTCAAGCAGTCAGGTGAGGGTTTACGGAGAGTTGTCATCTGAAGTGGTGACGACTAGTGGTGTCCGTCAGGGATGCCCATTATCCCCATTTCTATTCAACTTCACCATTGATGTACTGAAGGACTTAACCCTGACTCACTTCAACGACTCAGTGACTGACTTGTTGTCAGGGAATAATCTCGTCGACTTAAAATATGAGGATCATACAGTCCTTCTAGATGAAGACACTGACAAAGCGCAGAGTGTTCTGCACACCTTGAGCACCAGTGATTTTCGAATGTTCGGCATATGAATCGCGCCCTGCCATCAAATGCAAGATGATGCTACAGGACTGGACTGGACGACACTGACTTATAAATAGGGATTGAAGTGGTTAGTGGAGCCTGTAGACCACTTCATTTATTTGGGACGTCGTATCAGCCTGCGCCAACGGTTTGATCACTGACGAAATCTCACCATGTTTACAGAAGGCTCCTTGGCATATGCCGACTTACGCCATCTCTGGCGTAGACGTGGTACCCGGCTGGCTATCGACCAAAGGGCGTCTGCACTGCTCATCAATCCACTTCGTGCTCCTTCATGGCTGTGAGACGTCGCCACTGAAAGTGGAAGACATGAAAAGGCTAGCTATCTTTGATCATAGGTGCCTACGTTATATCTCCCGTGTTAGATGGTATAAAAGGGTGAACAATATTGAGATGATGATATGGCTCAAAATAGTTCTCAAAGGCGCAGATGTATCCACTCCTTGTGACTTATATTATTCAATAAAACTATATTGTTCTTGCATATTACTATTCTTTTTGGTGTTCTCTGTTTACTGTCACTACTTTGCATTTCTTTTTACTGTTTTTCCTTGATTTTTGTGCTACATGCAATGGGGCGACTCGAACTGCTGTACATCGGTGCAAAGCTCTATGTTGAAACCAGTCAGTCAGCTTATTATTCTATAAGCGAAGTCATTCTATGTAGTTGTGAGCGTATCTTGGAGGTGCATTGGCAATGAATAGAGTAAAATGCATAGAATTTAACTGGGTGTTTATTTCGTAAAAACAAATAGGTCTATCAAAAGCTGTTTTCGTAACTTCCTTTCAACACTGCAGAGTTATTTAGCGGGATTACAATACACACAGGGCAAATGGAAAACAAGTTTATAAACTTACAAATGAACAAAGATAAACACTATGAGCATAAGGTATTAGATGAATGATGACCGTCAATTACAAAAATTTACGATAATAATGAGACAGATTACGAGTATTTAGTATTAAAAGTAAGACTAACTATAACACCTAATTCACAAAAGCGGTGAATAAAATTCACAAATCATCGGTTGACACAGGATTATACACCACCGGTTGACAAGAATAAATGAAGACTATTTACAACATCTTGGTCGGAGCAACTGTTTCTGTACATTGCAATCAAGCTTATAGATAGTATATTACATGTGACTTGGGTCAGGTAGTCAAACCACCAGGGTTTGTGTGTTTTCTTGCTGAAGTCAATCTTGGATAACTATACATTCAGGAAAAGGGAGTTTTTCTGGACGCCGACACTCACCAGGCGACAAATTTTGCAGCCGCAAAGGTCAAGCATCAGATAGGTAGTTCATTATATATGCTTTTACACGACAGTTTATGGAAGAATATGGTTAGAAACGCATTAACAATGCAATGAATTCGAATGAAAAATATTTCGAAAAACTGAATTTAAAAAACGATACATACTTCTTTGGTTGCCTCTTTTGAAAGACAGTCTATTTTCGGTTTATTCGGAACTTGTCTCAAATGGTTTGGCATAGCATCAAGAGGTTTCGTTGGACACCCAATGTCAGAAGTTCGATGTAAAGGAAAATGCTGTAGCAGAACCGGGCGCGAATAAACGAAATTCGATGGATCTAGAATCGGAATATTCGTAACACATAAGATTTACACAGGTGAAATAACAATCTACAAGCCAATTACTGAAAAAGGCACAGAAAATATATTAAATGCATCAGTTACATTTCATGAATATTTATTTTTTTATTTGATTACAGCTTGATTCCACACTGTATTTTTGTTACAGGTATGGAATGTTCAGCATGTGATATCTGTAGCCCACATTTTGCAGGCCGACCATAGATATCAGGTGTGCGTCGGCAGGGCCTCGAACCCCGGACCATGTGCAGTAGTTATATCTAACACTACGTTTGTGATGTCATCACAACATTCTCAGCTAGGTGTAAATTGAGCAAAACGTAAATTTGACTATGAACTCTGGAAGTCTTGGTTATTGAAGCATTTGCAGGTCGTGTTTTGAAGACACCAGTAGATTCCTACAAATAACATTTTCATTAGCCAGTTCAGAAAGTAGTCTTCACGTGAGTTTCTTAAACAACTACGTGACATCGTCACCTGATCTTGATGTCACAATAAGACCTAGAGCTGAAAGCATATGGCGTAAGCCCACTCATTGACAAACATGAGAATGATACTTTTAAACTGTGCAACATCAAATCGCATCAGAAACATCGTCTCAAAATTATTTCCTAGAACTATTGGGTATCGGTTAGATTCGCCACATCTCACATTTGCACATCGGACGGAAAATATGAGGGATGACAAAAATGCTACCACAGCATACAAGTCTTAACGCGTTATAAAATAAAATGAATAAAAACGAAAGCAGTTAAACGAATGCCTTATTAATCTTAGACCACTGGGGACAGTTGAGAGTCATATGACCTAGATTGTCCAACCATAAGTTTCGGTTGACTTTTCCAGCTAGGCAAAGTTCAGCCGATTACTTTTTGATCTAGCTCCCCCCATTCCGATAAGGCAGCACGCTGAAGTAAGCCGTGTTTATACGGTTTACAAGACACCTCTCAGTCACTGGATGGGTTCACCAGTTATCTTACAAGTCTCACTTGAAAATCTACACCTAACCGAAAAATTAATCACTTCTCAATAAGTGGGACTGTAACTAGATAACCGGATTCATTTCAAACAATTCACTTCAAGTGTCTATTTTCCAAAATTATATAGAAGAAAGGCGCAAGCCGTCGGATGACACACTGGACCTGTAGTTCAGGTATTTACTCTTTCACCTGCATTATGAATGGAGGTTAAACGAGCCTTTTGTGTTTACACAGAGATTTTGTCGACTAACAATCCATCGAAAATGATCCAACATATAACGTAAATAAAGTGGTCACAACGTCATATCAGTTGGTTTCGTACAATCTGGTGCTGTTACAGAGGAATAATTTTTTATTAGAAACTTGTGGTTGGATTATGAGAAATACAAACCGTTGTTTAGAGTATTGGTATGAATTAGTTAGCTGATGTTCTTTAGGGATGTTAAGAACCAATGGTTGCAGAAACTTTGTAGAGCTATTCAAAATCGTTTGCAATGATGAAGATATTTTTATGGCGTGTGTTACTGACAAGATTTATAAGTATATTTATATACATGCACATAAATATATATATATCAGTGTCATGAATATCGAATGGAAGAGAGATGGATTTCATGAACGATGTTTGAGAAATAACATGGGAAACATGAAAGGAAGACAAAGAAGAGCAATACGGAAGGCAAACCAGAACATTACCGAAAATATATGCAAATTTTGACTGTATCATATGGCAGACGTATTTAGCTGATATCTGTGCACCGAGTTGCAAATAAATATCTCTTTTGTAATGTGCCGTTACGCATTCACTTTTCGTCATATTCTGAGAATGCTTACTTAACCCTTCATTTAATTACCCTCTCTCTGTCGCCCATACGTCTTAGATTTATTACACTTCTTTTCTTAACTTTTATGGATGTTTCTTCGAATAATTGAAACTGAAACTTTCGAATTTCTTTGGAAAGTGTTACGCTCGCAAATCCAGACATTTCACTTAAGAAATTATTGAAGTCTGATCCTTCTCGGAGATCATTTAACCTATTTGTTGTCGATAGCACCTTTTTCTTCTCATTATGTTCAGATGTCCAGTGCTCTCTGGTGGTTTTCAGTGTTTCTCTAACTGATATCAGTCTGTGATCAAAACTTGAAACGTGTATTAATGGCTGATACTCCAAGAAAACCCTCATAGTAAAAAAATATTTGGAAACTGTCGGATTCCCGAAGATTAAGAGAAAACATCATCTGAAGTTATCTAACCCATTGTTATTTTATGAAGAAACAGAGACAAGCCAGTTATCAGCTAATTCTCAATAGGTGGAATATGAGCCATAAGACTTAAGAAAATCGTGCATGTGAATATGAAATCCCTTCCTATAATACGACTTCCAAAATCCTGGTATTTACAAAGAGATTCCAGCTGCTAACCTACTGTCTGAAAGTCAGGTGTCTGAAACAAGTTTCCGTAGCAAACAATACATCTCAATGTGAATGAAGGGAGATCTGTTACAACGGATACTGCGACATAACTTCTGTGATACTAGCTTGCAAAGGAATCTAGGAATCTAGTTTCAATCATTGAACACCTTCAGAATCACTTTGATGTCGGCGTCTTTGTCATATGGTGAAGGTATCATTGACATATTTTTTATACATATGAAAACTCCCAGTAGTAAGGTATAACACGTTATTTCCTAAACCTATCATGAAGTAGTCTGTAAGTAGAGGACCCAACTGTTTTTCATCTAATTAGGAATAAGATACGATGGGTTCTGAGTTAGAATGTTACAAGTAATATCATCACCTTCTAGGATGGAACCTTAAACAGGATGAAATGCACGTGCTATATTCTAACGCTAGACGATAAATAAAATATGTGAATCTAAAGGATAATAAACAACAAGAAACATTAGTAACAATGATAATTAGGATCACTTTTTGAATCCACATTAATAGGAATGTAATGAACGACTTACCATTTAGATTAACGCTTATATATGGATTTTTATCAGAAAGACCCATACTAAGTTCTTTCGAATAACAGCTTTCAGCGTTGGTTGAAGCAAACATTCTCAAACAGTCAAGGTATCTCTTTATGGACTTTAATGTCATTGAAGCCTTGTAACACAAATCACAGTTATCTCCCTCAAATGCAACGCTATTTGCAAAGACGAAGTGGATTCCAGAAAAAGACCATAAGTAGATAGGGGGTGTGAAAACATTACCACCAATATCGTTATGAAATCGGTCGTTTAAAAATCCATTAGTACTGAATGAAAAGAGATAAGGTGCCAAAAAAGTGACAGAATATGTATAAGTAAAGGACATTCCAACTGGTTAACTTCATGAAAATATGTGTGGGTAATAGCTCTCTTAATAACAATACACACATCGTTTGCATTTCGAATCAATTGAAGTTTTTTATAATAAGGGAAACGAAATATTTGAAAAAAAATTATTCATGAAGACAACCTGGATGAAACGTACTGCTACTAACCCCGTATACTACGAAATACCATAGAGTTCTATATTAGTCAAAAGATGGGAAACAGGTAACTACTCTATCGCATCAACCATTACTGGTTTAGCCATCGATTCTTAGTTTGAAAATCTGTATGATAATTTGTGTCTTCCAGTTCCAACTTCTACAGATAACCAAAGCTTGTTGAAGGCTGAATTCACCAATATGACATATCATCTCCGTTATTCAGACCAATGACAGAAAACATTTCAACTCTAGAGGAATTCGAAGCCATAAAATATACATCTGACATAGTTATCCTGAAAATTGACGAGGTATGTGATGTAATTACAATGAATAAATATGATTACGAAACTAAGTTGTTATCCACTCTTGTCGATAAAAACGAACTCATGGTGGATATCCTTATTTACTTTGACTGTAAAATTGGAAGAGAGTGACATTTGATATAGTGTAGATTTCATTGACTGGTGCCATTTTTTGGTTTGACCTCCACTAACTCTTTTCCAGCCTGACCCTATATCCGCTAACATTGCTCGTCGAGGAAGGCGATGACTATGTAACTTCACAACCTCGTCGATTGATTCCCTCTGTTTACCTAGAATTCGACGCCTAACCTCAATATTGATCACAATGATAGTAGATATATTCCTCAATAAACTTCAGAATGAAATTGATTTCTAAAGAACATTAATTGTTTGACAAGATCATGAAATTTTGACTCCTTGATACATGTGAAAAACTTTGAAAACAGAAACTGGATCATATGGAACATACTTTATTACAATTGTCTTGCTTCGACTCTTTATGAGGTGACACACTTGGTTGCTATGGAGAAAAAGCCGGATATCATACTAATTTAGATCATGCGACTGCTGTCCACACCGCCAAACGTCGATTTCGAAGGACTAATATAGACCAATGAAGTAGTTGTCGTTGGTCATACTAATGTTTAGTCCTTTCTATACTGATAAGAAGCGATTCTGATTAACTAAAGTTTCAGTTGCAGCACAGTAATCCCCTGAAAGCTTTTATACTAGACAAAAAGACACAATCTTTGTGAGGGTTTGAAATATTATCCCACCACACAAGCCAAAGGGTATGAAATGAAGGAGGATCTTAACTAGAAAACGATTATTCGAAAGTCAGGTAACTCATTCAATGAGTTTGAGCTTCTGTGAAAATTTCACTGGGAAAGCTCGTATGAATCAGACCAAATAAGGTACCTTATAGCAGTCAAGATGTGTTAACGACACAAAACAACCTAAAACATTTTAAAAATCAGGAATTAGGAGAAATCTGCACATCAATACACACATTTGCATACCACAATTAAGAAAAAGTGACGCACGCGTAGTGGAACCCGATATCGTGATTTCCAACAACAGCTTTCATTATAGTTTTTGTATTGTCGTGATGAAATGTATCGTGAAATCTCGTTACCTGGGAATTGAAGTCAACTTACTGGCCCATTTTCCTTCATCTAAAATATCTCCCAGTATGATAACTACATTGGGTCTCAGCAGGTATAATGAAGCTTGAAAAGCACGTTTCATCTGCCAGTCTCTATCAAAATGAAAAAAGAAATATTACCAATGAGGACATGGAAATGGGGAGATCGTCAGTTTCACATCCTAAACATAAACTTAACACACAAGACCCTCTGTAAGTAAGCTAAATTATAGCTTTGAGACACTAGGGAATGAAGTGAATGAACAGTAGCAAAATAAAATCTGCGTAAGCAGGATTGGAAGTGCAAGACTTAAATAGTTAGAAGTTGATGTCTGTTATGGAAAAATTATATATTTTATGTTTTCTGCATAACTGAATATTTCTTCTTTCTTAATATTCAAAAAGTCATTATGGAAACAAGATAAAACCTCAGTAAACCAAAAGACGGGGAATAATGCTATCAAGTGAGGACCTAAAATTGATGTATATTTTTATAGCTGAATACTGATTCATATATATATTCCTGGATTAGTCTTCCATGAGAAATCTTCCAGAATTCGATAATGTAGGGAAACAACGGTATTCTTCATTGTCACATATGGTGAAGTAGGTCTTGATAGCTGCTGACTGCTGAACCGAACTGATTGAATCATTATATTCCCTCATGTACACATACAAAGTGGCTGAATACTCTGTTGGCCCATCAATGGTTTCTTCGTTGTAAATCCATACTGAAATAACTTTCAAACATGTTAACATCATCTTCAGAATAGCTATATTGAATCTATAATACCTAAGTTTATTCTTTTGTTGTTCCAGATAGAATTTTATGGGCTAATTAAAGCGCCTGAAACTCCCTAACGCATAGTTGCCAGATGATCATGCAAATAAGAACTCTGTGACCTAGTAAGTCATTTCCTTTATAGTCATTAAAACATCAGTTAAAGAAAGACATCAGTAAAGCACACATAAGCAAAATCAATACGAAACTTATAATAAGAGGGTAGTCTCTCTTAAAATATTTGCTTCGTAGTTAGCGGTTTTACAAAAAAAAATAGATAACAAATCCTAGTTGCAAAATGACTTATCGAACTGGACTCAGTGGCTATACCCAAATTTTAAGCTACTACATTGGATTAGTACACTCTAGAGCATGAAAAATGCTAAATATGAATGGCCGCTAAAATGTGCACACGTAGTTTGGTGGTCATCAAAGTGCTTCAACTACTTTCACTACCTACATATTTTTAGAAAAGAGCGTTTAGTCGACAACTTCAAAAAAGAATTACGAAAATTACTATTGGATATTTTAGAGACACATCGACGATAAACATTACATCAGATCTGTTGTGAGACGGCTTGCTCGCATTTTTCCACAAAGGCCAACTTATCATCTTGACGGGTCCATTATCAGCATTGAAATATTTGGAGCAAAATAAGTATTATTATTCATTACGACGGTCTTTACTGTGTCCTCTTTTATGAACTGCATTGCTATCTGGATTAGAACTAGTCAGTAGAAATATCGTATATGAATCAACAACAGTTTAGATTACCAGCAAACTATGTTATGCGAAACGGCTACCAAAATAGAAACATGCTCATAACTCCAAACAACTTGTAGTTTTTGGTTTTGAAAGTGTTTAGTCGCAGTTCCTTATTATTATAAGCTGTTAACGATATTAATTACTTGGCATTTGTATCTCAAGGCAAGAATGACAATCGTTTGGAGTTCCACGAGGTTTGATATTCGAATGCATCTTTCAGCAACAGGTCAATTGGCTTCACTAGTACTTACACCACTATCTAGTGTCATGATGCCTGAGGATCATGATTACTAGTCAAGGGTGGATAAGACAACAGAACTTTAGAAACTAAGCTCGTGAAGCTTATTTTGTGATTACCAATAGAGGATATTTCCCTTTGACAAAGATTGAGATGTTTTATTTTCAGAATTCAGGTGAAATTTGACTCAGTATAACATTTCAAAATAGCCTTCAATGTCTGGCTACCTTATCTCGTTTAGAGTTACTTACAGCCTTCTCGATCCTAGCTGAGTTCGAGACTCAATGTCTATTATTGTTACGAATCCATAGTGACCACACCATATGTTCACTGGACCATTACTAAATCCTCCATCCGTTATTTCAGTCACCTCCATTACGTATCACGTAATTATTCGTTCTTTTCGGTTAGTGTCATGTTAACGGATGGTTTGCTAACATGTGAACAATTGTTCAACGTTATATTTTGCCGTTGCTTTATTGCAATTTTCGCTTTCATTGTAGATCATTGAGGAGTCTTGTACATTTGCACTTAAGCTTCCACATATACAGCAAAAAGACCCCTTTCATTGTATTATAAGCATACTTATTATGCCAAACTGCTTCACGACAAGCGGTCACATTCTATAGATCTTATCGAACTAACCCCAGTAAGGCCTCCCATTCCCGTCGTGTCTATACAGTAAAATAAACACATGGTCACTGTAGAACTGCGTCTTACAAGTACAGCTGCTGATCTACTTTAGTCATCTGTAGTCGCAGTACGGTCTATATGAATCGTGTGGAGTTGGATTTACTTTACATGATAGGCAAGGCTTTTCTTTGAATGTGAAATTACTGCTGACAGGAAATAAATGACAGCTGATAATTTCTGATGCAGCAAACTATCTTCATGGTCAGTTGCTTCACAGCTCGTGAGTTGAGAAAGTATCATATGAAAAAGGGATATTTTACACCTTAAAAACTAAGTGTGAAGTGTTAGTACTCTGAGTAGGTGTAATAAAGTGAATGACGATTCGTGCACACAAGCAGATTATAGATTCATGCTGCAAGGTATGAATAAACCGATATGACAGACAACATCAACGAAGCAGAAAATTGAATTAAGACATCACGGAGGAAGCTGACAGTAGTGCACATTAAGAGACGGAAACAACAAAGAGAGGAGGGGTCGTGCAGCCATACAACATCACTATTTATACTGAGCAAATATTTAACACAGACGTCCGTTGGTGATGCGTGGCCCATTTAGAGGTTGCATGTGTAAACTGCCGACTGTGGAGTAATCAAATGTATTTTGAGCTAGTCTGTCGTGATCTATCATCACCTCAATCGAAGGCAACGTAAGTGATCTTACAGTTATCTGAGGGAAACACAGGATTACTGCCATACACACAGTTCAAATACGGAACACCAGATGCATTAACAATTAGTTTATATTATGACTACTTCTTTAGTCTAGTCGCAAACCGACTAACATGTTAAAAACTTCAGGAACAATCATGCTGATATACATAATTCATCCCAGCGTGAAAGTCTATGTAACAAAGCACGTAGGCGCACTTGGTTGAAAACACGCCAAACACGTAAGTTCATCTCACTCTTACAAAACTTACTTAAGAAGCAGACTAAAAGTTTCAATTATATACGATTTTAATGCACAACCACCTATAAAAACATTCTTCGACTAAACATTAACAACCAATTCCATATAAACAAGTAAAAACAATCCAAACCTTCTGATACGATCAATAGGATGACCCAGAACATATCCAAGAAGATGCGTATCGGCTAAGACCATCACACTAACCCCAGCTTTTGCCTCACGTTTATTTTCCACATCATTTCGGAGAATATACGGCCAAAAACAATTGTATATAGTAACATAGTAAATGAGATATTCACAGACCCATACTAAAGCAACGAAATAGACAACCAGATACCATACTTTGCGTTTCTGAATCGAGCGAAGTATTACCGGAAAAGCACGACTTTCAATTACTCTCCTGAGGTTCTGAAACAAAAAACATTTGTTTGTGACTTAGAAGACAAGTGTACAGCAAGAAGACTTCACTATGGTTTTAAAATTTATTTCGACATATATTTGTAATAAAGTTCTCCGACGTCAAAAATTCCAATGAACTTCCACCCATCCTCCATCATGTGATATACTAGGGAACAAATAAATAACATTTGTACAGGGACTCACGGTTAACAAATCCACCGGATGCAGCATCACGATGAGTAGCATGAAATATTGATCGCATAGCGAGTGCGTGGGCCTCTTCATCCTTCATCTCGTACTTATACTTAGTATCTAAAACACCATAGGCGTAGGGACTTCCAGATCCTACAGAAAATAGGTTTCCGGAAGTTATGTTTCCATCTGTATCGACGTAATAAATACCCGGTCCATTTTTATCCCAACCGACAATCGTTGTGCCGATACTCAAACCCATTCCTTTGTAGTTATAAATCATGTTTGCTAACAGTTTAGATGCAGCGGCAACAGATATCCTTTCCTTATTCCTCAATTCGAATAATCTACAATTAAGACAAGAGCCGCGAAGTACCTGCAATGCTTTGTCAAAACGCGCTCCCAAAACTGACAATCTGCAGCACCACCAGCCATAGTTCCGAGTAAGAATTTGTCGATTTCAATTATTTTCTTTGTGGTTCCAGAAGCTAAGCCATGTAGTGATGAAGTAATCCTGGGTGCACTCACCAATGTAGCTTCCAGCAGTTGCACGGGAATCTGTTGCGACAATTGCTCCACCAGAATATTTGAAGGCGAGAGTAGTGGTTCCATGAAGAAAGTGAATTTTTGTTTCACCACACTGAAGTCCATGTTCAATCGGTTTTATGTAACTCTGAAACTGTTTATTACATGATCAGCTTAGTACCTCTGACTTCCGACTCCATTCAAGATCAAGTTCTGATAGGTGTAACAATTGGTCCTTATATGGATGTTAATCTTGAAACCTCTTTAGGACCTCAAAACGTGCCAATTCTGATAAAGCCATGATGGGCAATGGATAATGGCACACACGACCTTACGGAGAGGCTGAGCACCTCAAGGTCACGTATGCATAATGTGATTGGTAGATTTTACTTTGCATAAACGCTGCGGCTAATACGTAGCATACGTTACTGAGGCGGGCTTTGAATTGATAGTAATAAAAGTCGCGTAAACGTTACATTTGTTGGTGACTCTAAAGAATAGCGGCCAAAACCGAAACGACCTCTTAACGCAAAAATGACCGGTGACTCTAAAGAATAGCGGCCCAAACCGAAACGACCTTCGAACAGAAAAGCGACCTTGAGCCAGGAATCAGCTGACTGCATCATTTGCGGAAGTAATCATGCATGTTTTCAATTACTTTTTGGATAACGGACTGATAGCTTTGTCGAAAATTTGCCGATGTGGAGGAGTTATGCATATACAAAAATAGACAGAAGCCATTGATGGCTTTGTATACAGATGTATTGAGTGCCGAAAGAAGAAATCGGTTCGAGAAGGTTTGTCGTTGTTTTTTAGTTTACAGATACTTTGGGAACTTTTCTCTCAAGGTCTAAACTACTTTTGACAAAAAAAATTTTAATGATCTGTAACTTCTGGGTCCTGAAAAGAGCAGTCACAGCTACAGCTTATGAAACAGAAAATTCAGAGGTGTCAGCAGTGCAATGGTACAACTACTGCAGAGATGTTTCCTCCTGGAAAATGAACACCCTGACTCAAGTTCTCGGAGGAGTTGGCAGCATAGTCCATATCGATGAGACTGTACTTATAAAAAGGAAATACAACCGTGGGAGATTACAAGCAAACCAATAGTGGATACTAGGTATCTACGACACGACACTGCGCAAAGTATATATAGAAGCGATTCCCAATCGCAGTGCAGCAGTATTAGTGCCTATTATTAAGCGTTTGGTGTTGCCGGGGACGACTATTCATACAGATGAATGGAGCGGATACCGTCAATTATCGAGTCATGGGTACATTCATCATGTGCGTCGGTGGCACAGTGGTTAGGACTCTCGCCGACCATGCACATGGTCCGGGGTTCGAGCCCACGCCGGCGCACACCTGATATCTATGGTCGGCCTGCAAAATTTGGGCTACCGATATCCATGCTGAAAATTCCATACTTGTACCAAAAATACAGTGTGGAATCAAGCTGTAAATCAAAAAAAAAATAATAATAATAATAAATGTTGTTAATCATACGGACGGTTTCCGGAATCCTTTAGATGGAACCCACACCAGTTCCATTGAAAGTTTTAGGAGTCGTCTAAAAAGACGTATAAGAGCGGTTAATGGATCGAGAAATCCCATGATTTACAGTTACCTGGATGAACCGAAACTGGTTTCATACGACTATGAAGACTCCCATGAGAAACTGAGAGGTTTTTTGAGACATATACGCGAGCGCCATCCTTTGTAACTGTTTATTATGATTGCATTACTTATATACAAGCCGTTTTTTACAATTATGCGCCTTCCTTTTTGAGCCTTCTCATTGACCGAAGTTGTCCCTGTCAAGGTCATTCGGTGACTCTAAGGAATAGCGGTCCAAACCGAAACGACCTTTTAACGCAAAAATGACCTTGACAGGGACAACTTCGGCCAATGAGAAGGCTCAAAAAGGAAGGCGCATAATTGTAAAAAACGGCTTGTATATAAGTAATGCAATCATAATAAACAGTTACAAAGGATGGCGCTCGCGTATATGTCTCAAAAAACCTCCCAGTTTCTCATGGGAGTCTTCATAGTCGTATGAAACCAGTTTCGGTTTTTTTTTTCATCCAGGTAACTGTAAATCATGGGATTTCTCGATCCATTAACCGCTCTTATACGTCTTTTTAGACGACTCCTAAAACTTTCAATGGAACTGGTGTGGGTTCCATCTAAAGGATTCCGGAAACCGTCCGTATGATTAACAACATGATGAATGTACCCATGACTCGATAATTGACGGTATCCGCTCCATTCATCTGTATGAATAGTCGTCCCCGGCAACACCAAACGCTTAATAATAGGCACTAATACTGCTGCACTGCGATTGGGAATCGCTTCTATATATACTTTGCGCAGTGTCGTGTCGTAGATACCTAGTATCCACTATTGGTTTGCTTGTAATCTCCCACGGTTGTATTTCCTTTTTATAAGTACAGTCTCATCGATATGGACTATGCTGCCGACTCCTCCGAGAACTTGAGTCAGGGTGTTCATTTTCCAGGAGGAAACATCTCTGCAGTAGTTGTACCATTGCACTGCTGACACCTCTGAATTTTCTGTTTCATAAGCTGTAGCTGTGACTGCTCTTTTCAGGACCCAGAAGTTACAGATCATTAAAATTTTTTTTGTCAAAAGTAGTTTAGACCTTGAGAGAAAAGTTCCCAAAGTATCTGTAAACTAAAAAACAACGACAAACCTTCTCGAACCGATTTCTTCTTTCGGCACTCAATACATCTGTATACAAAGCCATCAATGGCTTCTGTCTATTTTTGTATATGCATAACTCCTCCACATCGGCAAATTTTCGACAAAGCTATCAGTCCGTTATCCAAAAAGTAATTGAAAACATGCATGATTACTTCCGCAAATGATGCAGTCAGCTGATTCCTGGCTCAAGGTCGCTTTTCTGTTCGAAGGTCGTTTCGGTTTGGGCCGCTACTCTTTAGGGTCACCTGATTACTTCCGAAAATGATACAGTCAGCTGATTCCTTCCTCAAGGTCATTTTTTGTTCGAAGGTCGTTTCGGTTTGGGCCGCTACTCTTTAGGGTCACCTGATTACTTCCGAAAATGATACAGTCAGCTGATTCCTTCCTCAAGGTCATTTTTTGTTCGAAGGTCGTTTCGGTTTTGGCCGCTATTCTTTAGAGTCACCCATTTGTTTAGCTTAAGAAGACAAGTTAATGCGTGTATAGATTTTACAGATGTGATATGCACGTGGACCCACTAAAAAAAGAATATTATTGGGTAACTTTATCAACCGAAGATCTGGAACCTCTACCTCACAATCAAGAAGCGAGCTCAAAGAAATCACTGGTTTATACTAGCTCGTAATCAGGATATTGGATATTGGAACCCAGTCGGTTACTTTTTTTTGTGGACCTGGGATATGTGGGTAAAAACGTGGGTAGTTTTCCGTTCATATGTGGGCAAAGTGAGATAAGGTGGGCTGTTTTCGTTTGTAACATGGGAAAAGTGGGCTGTTTTCTAAAATGACATGGGCAAACGGGGAAAAAGTGGGTATATTTTGAATTCCTGCACATGGGATAAATGGGTAAAAACGTGGGTTACGTGGGAAAACTGGGAAAAGGTGGGAGAAACAAATTTTATGTGGACATGGGAAAACGGGGATAAAGTGGCCAAAGTGGGTAAAATAGGTTGCATTTACACCATCTTTTGCCCACGTTTTTGCCGATCAAAAATACCCTTTTATCCCACGTTTTGCCCACTTTTCCCATGTGCATTAACCGACTGGGTGGGTATATCCATTTTTGCCATGTACATTATCTCTTTGGGGTGCATGTTCAGCTGTGTTGAATCTGAAGGTGCGGTGAGATTCTTAGTGTAATTTTCGGTTTGTTAAAGGGAGAAGTTAAGCTATTTGCATTCAAGATTAATGGGCTCAATACTGAACTTGCAAACAGCCGATCGCACTGTATGGTAAATGTAGGAGTGCAAATACACTGGCTACTTATTCTGTCTTGTAATCTCAACTCGGAAGTTTTTTATCGGTGTTCACTTGGATGAATAGGTCTGTCAGATGTGGTTTGATTTTCTTATCGACTGCTCACGTGTTGAAGAACAGCGTCCTATCGTAATATTTCCCCACTTTTATAGACGCCCAACACTAGCTTTATAACTTGATAGTTCGCTTCAGAGTGCACTCATTAGCTTTGACCTCAGAAGTCGAACTTAGTGGTTAGAATGAAAGAGATTGAGGAATGTTTTTAGTGGACAAATATGGTTAGTTAAGACATATTTCTCATGTACCAGGTTATGAACAACGTTGATTGTACTACCTTGCTGCCGATTTCGATGCATGTAGAGTGGGATTCAAAACCTAGACCCTATGACTGACTGAAGGCTGAGCTGCCTAACAGATATGTACATAGCGCATTTGAATCCATGTGCATTTCTTGTTTGCAAGCTTTAAGGGTTAAAGGCCTTGTCTTATTAAGCTTAGGCAATATATACATGATTCACATAGTTTTACTTGTTCAGAGTCCTATGTTCCTTTTCTTACATCGAAACTATCCATCTTCAGACATAGTCTCACAATTAGAGGTTTGTATATTATGTTCATTGTTTTATATGTCATATAGTACGGTCTCAGCTAACGAAAACGTGAAGCATACTGCCCCGAATTTGGGATACTTTTTTTATTGGACCTGTTTTTTTGCCTCTGAGTGACTGCAGTGCCCCGATGGTCCTACGCGTAACTCATACGTTTGGTTTAATTAATCGATTTCAATTATCGCTCCGGCTTTCTTAGAAGTCATATATACATATGTATACAAAATGTAGTGTTGTTCAGTCGAATAAAGTTAGGCAGATGCACTTCTCATGATTTTGTACAAAGTGATTGGCTTCACTTTTGTGAACACATATTCTTCGAATCTCTTGGCCTGCAGAATAAGCCTAAAGTTGAAATCCCTCACATTTTGTTAGTTTTAACCAATAGTAAGATAGCTACTATTTCAATATATGCGTAAAACATGGGCACTGTGGTAGTAAGTGATTCAATATTAGTTTGTTTATTAGATATATCACACAGTGAAACAGTATTATTTACTGGATAACGTTTCGAACACAATTTATTGTTCATAATCATATCATCCGTTATTATCACATAATTTCGAAACTTGAGTTTAAAAGTCCAGCTATAGCACTACATGCAATTACATA